TTTTCAAATTCTAGCTTGGGGCCCATTACTGGGTTGTGAAAACCCTACAGTGCTCTGGCTGGCCCTTGGCCATAATTCCTGCTGACTGGTGCCTGGTCATTGGCCCCTGGAGCCAGGACATGCCAGGGACGGGTCACAACCACAGCTTGGCCTGCTCCTCCAGGCGGGCAGTGCAGCAGCTGAGAGTCTGACGTGGGAGCCAGGCTGCCAAGGGAACGAATCCTGGCGATGCTGCTGCGGACCTTGACCAAGTTAATTCAGCTTGCCAACTTCCCCGTTTTATGTCAGAGGGGCTGAGTGGGGATGTGGCCTCAGCAGGGCCCCACTGCTAGTTTACAGGGGAATCGTGACCGCAACCTCAGTCCTGGCCATGTCCCGCCATAGACCTGACATTCTCCTCAGCCCGGGGAAACCAAAGGAGCTGCAGACCAGCAGCTGTGCTCTCACACCTACATTCCAGCTAGTATGAAGGTGGGAGAGCAGAGTGCTCCTTTGCTTAAAAAGCTCTTTCCTAAAGTTACCTACAGCCTTTCTGTTTGTATCCCATCGGCCAGAATTTGTCACATGATCTGCAGAGAAATCTAGGAAATGTAGACTGATTCTGAGTGCCCGTGTGCTTAGCTAAACACCAGTGACCCTAGGAAGGAGAGCAGAGCGCTCGGGGACGATTAGCAGACACCACCACGTTGCCTTAAGAGCAGATTTACGGCCACTGAAAGCGTTAGACCAGCTCCTGCTCGCTCAGCTCGGAATACATACAAGTGCCTGCCCTGTGCTGGGTATTGTGCCAGGAGGGCACAGTTTTTAAAGTAAAGTGGATGAAACCATTTGAGAGTGAGCTGCAAAGACAGAAATCCAAAGTAGGAAAAAGACCTTGCCGGACACCAATGCTGGACGCCAAGACATCTTGCAGGAGCAGGAGCCGCGCCCAGAACAGAACTCTGCTCTGCCGTGCTCTGTTTATGAGTGGCCTTCTCTGCTGTGGTCAGCCCCTGACTGCGTGGCCAGAGCTGTGTCCACTGCCCTTCCCTGCACTTGGCAGAACGACCACTGGAGCCCATCCTTGCGGGCCTCCTAGGGAATGGGAAGCAGGCTCCGTGGCTTCCAATTGCCAGGAGCAACTGGAGATGGTGACAGCAGCTTACTTTTCCAACCCTCACCCTCTTGGTGTTCCATGAACCTGGTGAGCGCTCTGATTACTGTTGCCATGACAACTTGGTTGTTTTACCAACCTGGCCAACTGGCGTTACCAACCTGGCCAACTGGCGTTCCCCCAAGGGGGCACCACCCCGCTGTACCTGGCATGTGTTGTGAAGTTCATGTTCCCTGACTGTCAAGGCCAAGTGCCTTCCGCCAGATTCCCCAGGGGACGGTGGTCTCCCTCTCCATAGAATATCAGGCAGCCAATCAGAGGATGTTTATAGTTCATCATGGATGTGGGCACGTGCTTCTGTTCCAGCGTTCAACTTAAATAGCAGAAAATATTCTATGTCTGACACACCATGCAGACACACATGCACACACACACACACGCACACGCACAAGCACACGCCCTGAGCCTGGAGGGAAGGACATCAACCAACCCACTGGGATTGTCTTTGGATCAGGAGTGGTTACTCCCATTCCTAGTCTTCTATCATTTCTCCATTTTCTAGAAGAAACAAATGTAGCAGGTCTGTAGTGTTTTTTTTTTTTTTTAAGATTTATTTATGCACACAAGAGCTGGGGTGTGGGCCAGAGATGTGGGGGTGAGAGGATTCACCAGAGACAGAGTAGGGAGCAGAACAGGCAAATCTACTGAAATACACTGCTGAGGGGAGCAGTGGGGAGACGAGAGGTCAGCTCCCTGGCCGGGGATCGAACTTGTGTTGCAGTGGCTGCAGATTGCTCTGTAGTGCTGAGACCCAAGCCCTTGCACCACCAGGGAGGTGCTGTTACTTTGCTTTTTGAACGACTGGCCTTCGAGTCATTGTCTGGAAGTACCGTAATTGTCTCTGGCCAGTCCCATGAGGCCAGGTCAGAAGGATGTTTCCATTCTTTTACTACTACAAAGCACACTTCTGCTGTGCAGGGGTGCATGGGCGGGTGAGTCCCCCGAGATGGAGAGGCTGGAGCCAGCATTTGTGGGTTTAGAATTCTGCCGGGCACTACCGTGCCCCTGCCCCCAGCCACCCACACCTGCTTCCCACGCCCTTCCTAGCAGACCTGGCTGATTGCTTTCATCTCTCCAAGGGCGGAGCTCACAGCTTGGTCAAAGAACAGTGATCACCTGGAAATGAGACAGAGGAGCCGATGACTCACTGAGGGGAGACATCCCTGCCACCCCCAGGAAACTACCCCGGCAGCTGGCCTTTTGCCCCTGGGGAGCTCTGTGCATACCAGAGGCAGTGAGCCTCTTTGTGCTTGGGGCTGGAAGTATATTATCTGCAAGTGAAGCCTAGACATCTGGTCCAGAGAGCTGTGGACCTCCAGCCACACGAGGCTGGCAGATGGAGAAGACAGAAAGGGGCGTTGGCATCAGGCAGTGAGCCTCTGTGTCTGGGACTCAGGAGGAGGCTGAGGAGATGGGCCTGGACCTTTCATAAAAGGGTCACATAGTCATGGTTAAATAATAAAGGTTCCAGGGCCCTCCCTGGTGGCACAGCGGGTTAACAAGCAGCACTAAGAAGCTAAAGTCACTTCAGCATGAGTTCGATCCCCACCCTGGAGGTGACCCACATGGCGCGGCAGACCTCTCCTGACCCGCCCGCTGCTCCCCTCAGCAGTGTACTTCGTCAATCTCCCTGTCCTGCTCCCCTCTGTTCCTGGTGAGTCCTCTCACCGCCCCTGAACCTCTGGCCTGTACCCCAGTTTTATATGTACAAATAAATAAATCTTTAATAATAATAATAATAAAAAAGGTTCCAGGGCCCTCCCTAGTGGCGCAACGGGTTAGGATGCAGCACTGTAAGCTGGCCGCAGTCACTACAGTGTGAGTTCGATCACCGGCCCAGAGGTGACCCACACGGTGTAGCAGACCTCGCCTTACCCATCTGCTGCTCCCCTCAGCAGTGTAACTTCCTCTATCTGCCTGTTCTGCTCCCCACTCTGTCTTTGGTGAAGCCTCTCACCACCCCTGCACCTCTGGCTTGTACTCCATTTCTGTTTGCATAAATAAATAAATCTTAAAAAAATAAATAAAATAAAATGTCAGCCTTCAGTCTAGGCTTTAAAAATAATAAGGGTTCTGGTTCCTCAAAGCCTAAGGGTACAAAATAACAAGTAAAACCTTAATCATCATGAATTTCCTGGAGGGCCACAGGGGAAGGCTGGATGTGTGAGAACGATGTGCCCACACTTTCTCAGCGTTTTCCAACACTCTTCTGTCGCAGCAACCACAGCCCTCTGGGCCTTATAGGAAGAAGCTTTTAGTGGCCCCCAACGCCCTTTACTCACCAAGTAGATGCTAGAAAATATGTCTCTTTGTAGTTACTCAGATTTGAATCTTACACCCAGCGGTGTGCACAGTTCTCCTTTTGTTCTTTCAAGATCGTGGTCATGTTACCAAGCTTATAAAGTTCCACGGGCCACCTAAGAAAACCTGCAGTGATCTACCTCAATGTCACTTGTGGTTTTCAGAGGAAGAGGAGGGAGAGGCTCTGGGGAGGTGGAGACATCTCCCCAGAGGCTGGAGGCAGCACGCCAGCCTTCCAAAGGGCTGCAGGAGTCTGGGCTGCCCTGTCCAGAGTTCCCATCAGCCCCTGCCCTGCCCTTTGCGTTCGGCAGGAAGCCTGGAAGCAGGCCATCGAGAAGGCCAAGCACATGCCTGACCCCTGGGCCGAGTTCCACCTCGAGGACGTTGCCACGGAGCGTGCCACGCGTCACAGGTCAGCTGCGTGTCTGTCGGGTGCTGTGGGTCCCCGGGTCTGGAGATGCCCTCAGGATGTGGTCACTTCTGCCCAGTGAGGCCCAAGTACCCTGGGGGCCAAGGAGAAGGGGCTGGCTCCTGCAAATACTTGCACATGTGCGCGAACCTTAGGGCGGCAGCAGGTGTGTATTTGACCATGGAGGCTGAGCTGTGCTGCAGAACAAATACCCAGGGGCAGGATTAGAACTGAGATGGAAAAAGGCACAAAATGATGTAAAAATAAACTATTAGATTATTAAAAAAAAAAAAAATTACCCCGGAGCTGGAGGCAATGGCAGTGTGTATCTTTTGCTGGTGTGAGGTTGAGGGAGAACGAAGCAACCACTTCAAGCACCTCGAGCCAGGCCGGGCCAGTGGTCAGCTCGGCCTATGTGTAGAGGGGACTTGATCCCCTAGGCAGTGGGGAGCTCAGAAAGGTCTCCCACTTCTGGCCAGTGAGTGACAAGATCATGGTCACATTGTGGGTGCTGTGCCCTAAGGTGGTCCTCTCCCCGCAGGTACAGTGCAGTCACCAGGGAGTGGCTAGAAGATGAGGTTCTGATCAAGATGGCGTCTCAGGTGAGCAGAGCTTCCTGTCCAGGGGGGCCAAGTGGGTGTTTTTCTCCCTCCTGCCCACACCCACTTTATTGTATGGTTCTAACTTCAGGTGGTTTGTAGTATAGACATTGCTCTGCAACGGCCCTGGAACATACACCCTCTCCAAAAGAAACATCTGTAGCAGTGAGACCCCAAGCCCCTTATCTCCCCCAGCCCAGCCCCAGGCAACCGCTGCTCTTCCTTCTGTCTCAGTAGATCTGCCTGCTCTAGACCCACATCTTAATCACCCAGCACATATTCAAAGCTTCTTTTCAGTGCTCGTGTGGAAAACCAGTTGACTGTGTGTCTATCAGTTTTCGAAAATTGCAGGTCACCACCTACTACTGAGCTGTTAAATTAATTCAGGGGGTTGCAAGCAGCCTTTTGGAAAAAGGAATAGACTAGAAAATACAGTGCTGCCTGCATGATAAGGGTGAGGACTGGTTTGTGAAACTCACTCTAGTGTCTCACGCAAGCAACAATGTGAAAGCCTGATAAGTTTCACAAAGTTGAACACGTGGTGTAGCCAGTACCCTGTTTAAGACACAGCACCCACAAACCCCAAGTGCTTCTCAGTCCTGTCACTCTACTTCCCCAAGGAGAAGCACCTCCTTCTGCTGGAACTGTAATTTGTATTCTTGTTGCCATATAGCATTTCATCCAGTGAACAGAGGATGATTTATTCATCATGCAGTTGATGGACATTGAGGTTGTTTGCCCCTTTTCCATTACAGACAGGGCTGCAGAAACCCCTCTTGACATGTGCTGCCTCCCCCATCCTCTCCCCCGTCCCATAACATCTTCACTCCATGGTGGGTCGTGTGGTGTAGTCGTCCCTACAGCCTCAGGCTGGAAGTTCTGTCAGACTTGGTGCTGGGTAGGGAAGGGAGGGCCCAGGGATTTAGGATTCAGATAGGAGTCAGGGAACCCACTGATGGGTGAGGTCCATGGGGAACCTCTCCCAGCTCAGGGCTGGCTGTGGGTAGGGTGTGGGGACCGATCACCCGCTGCGTGCTGTCTGTCTTGCAGCCCTTCGGCCGAGGAGCCATGAGGGAGTGCTTCAGGACGTAAGTGACCTCACCTGCTCTTTGGGACCAGCCCAGACTCAGGCTCCTGAGAGCAGGGGCGTTGCGACATCTCTGACATCGCCAGAAGCAGCGACCTCTGCTTGCTGTAGCCCACGCCCTCCTCATTCGTCTCCCTGGGGTCCATGTTGGACCTGGCTGTGAGGATGGGGAGTATCCCACCGATCTCTGCTCGGGGGTTGAAGGGATATGGGATAGGAGATCTTGAAAAAAGCCCCTTCCCCAGCTCTTAGAAGGGTGCCGTGGCGTGGGGAGCTGTCCCTTTCTGCATTTCCTTCCTGGCTCCAGGCCACAGGTCAGCCAGGATCTACCTGTGCTGAGGACCCAGGGGTGAGCCCCCAGAGAGCCCAATGCCCAGGTGCGTGGCTGCCTCTGTCCCCAGGAAGAAGCTCTCCAACTTCCTGCACGCCCAGCAGTGGAAAGGAGCTTCCAACTACGTGGCGAAGCGCTATATCGAGTCCGTGGACAGAGACGTGTACTTTGAGGACGTGCGTCTGCAGATGGAGGCCAAGCTCTGGGGCGAAGAATACAGTCGGCACAAGCCCCCCAAGCAGGTGTGTGGCAGCCTCCTGGCCACTTTCCACGGCAGGGCAGCCGGGGCCCGTGTCTGGAGACGAGGGTGATGGGCGCAGAGAGCCCTCTTCGTCATCGTCACGGTAGCCAGTAACAGCCATCATTTACTGAGCTCATGAACCAAGCACTTTATGTGCAAAGAGTTGTTTCTTCTTCAAAATCAAGTCTGGTGTTTGAGTTGGAATGTTCCCATTCACAGATGGGATCTATTCATCAGGACTTTTGTTTGCAAGTGCAGAAACCCACTGGATGGGCTTGATCCAAAAAGGGAATTGACTGCCTGCCACTGAGATACAGTCCAGCCGCAGGCAGAGCCGGACCCAGGTCCAAACTGAGGTTGCAGCAAGTGTTCCGCTGTCTCAGGCCGCGGCCTGCTGGGGTCACAACAAAGTAGCACAGACTAGGTGGCTTGTAAACAAGAGATGTATTGCTGGGAAACCCAGATTGAGGCATCCCTTGGTGGCTTTCTGATGAGGACCCACTTCCTGGGTCCTAGCTGGCACCTCTCCCTATGTCTTCCCTGATGGGAGGAGGGTGACATCCCTTTGGGGTCCCATAGGGCACTCATCCTATTCATTGGGGTTCCACCCTCATGGCATAGTTACGTCCCAAGGTCCCACTCCTTGTACCATCACCTCTGGGGGTTAGGACTCCAGAGTGTGGATCTGGACCACAGCAGGGATTTTCATTCTGCAAGAAAAAGTGGAGAATGGATTCTGGGGACAACCAGCGATTTCTGCCATGGAGAGCTAGAAAGGGATGGGGCCAGGAGGGGGCCCCGCCTGGCACCCAGGCTCTCTGCTCTGGCCTCTGACCAGAGGAGGGCGTGGCTGGGTGCAGCCCCCATGGACCCCCACCCCCATTGACCCCCGCTGACCCCCCTCACCCCCGCAGGTGGACATCATGCAGATGTGTGTGGTGGAGCTGAAGGAGCGGCCGGGCAAGCCCCTCTTCCACCTTGAGCACTACATCGAGGGCAAGTACATCAAGTACAACTCCAACTCGGGCTTTGTCCGAGATGACGACATGCGACTGACGCCACAGGTGAGGCCCCTGGAGGGAGGAGCCCCCAACTCCACAGCGCTATCCAAGGAGATCTGTAACAGGCCACCCACCACCCATCCAGTCTCAGGGTCCTGCGGTCTTAGGGTCCTTCCTTTGTCATTTTCTCTGCCCAGCCTCTTGCAGAGCCTGACCCCCGATGGGCAGAGCTGGGGTGTTACCTCCCCGCAGAGCGGCCCCCATGCTGCCCGCAGGCTGGTCTCTTGCGGCCGCCTTTACCTTTTTGTCTCCCTCAGGCCTTCAGCCACTTTACCTTTGAGCGCTCCGGCCATCAGCTGATCGTGGTGGACATCCAGGGCGTGGGGGACCTCTACACCGACCCGCAGATCCACACTGAGACGGGCACTGACTTCGGAGATGGCAACCTAGGTAGGCGGGGAAGCCAGCTGTGCATGGCACACCTCGGCCCAGGTTGCCTACTTCTTCGTATGCCCAAGAAAATAAGCCCAGAGGGTGTGTCAGCGCCCCATGCTCGTGGAGATGGGTGCTTGGGAGTCTGACCCCACTCCTGTACCCGTTTTATGCCTGCTTCTGCCACCTTGTGATGCCAGGCACTGCTCGCCCCATTCAGAATAGAGCCCCAGCAGCCATTGCTCTGTCTGCAGGTGTCCGGGGGATGGCGCTCTTCTTCCACTCCCACGCCTGCAACCGCATCTGCAAGAGCATGGGCCTGGCGCCCTTCGACCTCTCCCCGAGAGAGAGGGATGCAGTGAGTCAGAGCACCAAGCTGCTGGTAGGTGCCTGGTGTGAGCCTGCTTAGGCTGCGGGGCCCAGCTGCCACCAGGACCACAAGTCCTGCCTCCTGCGAGGATCTCAGTCCCATCAAAGCCCCGAGTGGGGGCCCCCAGACCTCCACTGTCAGTGCACGAAGCCCCCCCAAGTGATCCCATGAATAGAGTACCTGGGATCTGCTTCATTTGTGCCCAGTGTTGACCTGAGGGAGGGGACCAAGAGTGAAAAAGGTGCATGGTGTGTGTGTTTGGGCGTGTTTGGGTGGCGTGTTGATAGTTGGTCCTGGTTCTCTGGGCACCTTGCTGAGGATGTGCCCACCCCTCTCTCACTGTGTGGACCAGATGTAAGAGAATTTGGCCAAGACCAGGTTGGGACTCTGGGTATAAGGACACATATTCCCCAGCTCAGGGCTGCAAAACACTTCAGGGAATGCAGCTGCCAGGCCCTTCTTAGAGGCCCTTGGGTTAATCTCCCTGACTATTTTTAGATTTTCTGGCAGCCCCCAAACAGGCACGAGAGCTGTGGCTGGAAGAGCATCCCATTTGAGGGTGCCTGTATGACCTGAGTGTTCCTGTTACTGTCCCCAGCAATCAGCCAAGACCATATTGAGGGGAACAGAGGAAAAGTGTGGGAGCCCCCGGGTCAGGACCCTTTCTGGGAGCCGCCCTCCTCTACTCCGCCGCCTTTCTGAGAACTCTGGAGATGAGAACATGAGCGACGTGACCTTTGACTCACTTCCTTCTTCCCCATCTTCAGCCACACCACACAGCCACAAGCTGGACCATCTCTGTGAGTGATGGGTGGGCCCTGGTCACGATTAAAGAGCACAGGCACCAGGTAGAGCAGAACTACACTGCCTTTCCGTTGTGTTAGAAGGACAGACACAAACTAAAAAGATGGGTGACCCAGGTAGCTTTATGAGTTCCTTTAACAGACTTTCAAGACTCAGGTCATCCGAATGCTAGAAAGGCAACCCCAGAGGTCCTCCCTGGTGGTGCAATGGGTTAAGTCTCAGCACTGTGAGGCTCTCCACAGCTACTGCAGCACGAGTTCGATACCTGGCCAGGGAGCTGACCCACATGGCAGAGCAGACCTCTCCTATCTCTCCCACTGCTCCCCTCAGCAGTGTATTTCAGTGGATCTTCCTGTTCTGCTCCCTACTGTAACCCTCACACCTCTGGACTACACTCTGGCTCTGATATGCATAAATAAATAGACCTTTAAAAAAAAACAACGCTATAAATATAGTGGTGGCCAAGGGGATATATCCTGAATATTCTGAATCCAATGCATATTGAATATGACATCCTGATTTGCTGGCGAGCAGATGTTATCTAGGCCCTCTAACAGCGTGAGCAGACCCCATTAAGTAAAGGTTCTTACGTTGATCTTATTAGGCTAAGGATCTTATATGATGAGTGCTTAAACTCTCTTCTTCCCCCCACCCCCCAAAAACCTGCCATTGTAGAAAGCAGGATAACATTTTTTCAGTGTGTTTTATGAATCTAGCAAAAATTTATACCAAAATTTGACAAGGCATCAAAAAAGAAAACTGCATTCTAACCTCACTTAGAACTCTCCAATGCAGAAATTCCGCACAAGACACTAACAAATAAGACAAATAGTGTCTCAAGTGAATAGGCTGCCATAGTCACTAGGCAGGCATCTGAGGACTGTTCCACTGTAGGAAGTTGATTAACATCTTAGCAGAGAAAAATGATCATTTCCAAAGTCGAAATGACAGAGTTTGCTCAAGATGTGGCAGGGGGTCTGCAGACCAAAAGGACAGGCAAGGTAGACTCCCAGGTTTTGGCCTAAAAAACTCAAAGGACGGGGTGGCTGTTCAGCTGGGGAAGCCCATGGGGAGCAGAAGAGGAAGATTTTGGCATCTGGTGTTAAAGAAGCTGTCTAGACACCCCTGGAAGTCTTGGCAGTGGTCTAGAATAGAAGTCAATAAAAGTTTTCTCAAAGGGCCAAGAGTCAGTATTTCAGGCTGTGCCAGCCACACGGCCTGCAGGTGGCCAGAGATAACACCTGAATGGATAACTGTGAGGGTCCAGGAAAGTTCTGATTTTCACATTACCAAACCTTCTTCTTTTTTTTGCCAAAACTCAAATGGTTGTGAAAAACATTCTTAAAAACTCAAAAACTGGGCCCTCCCTGGTGGCACAGTGGGTTAAAGCACAGCACCATGCAGCAACTGAAGCCTGAGTGGATCCCCAGGCAGGGAGGTGATCACAGGGCAGTGCAGACCTCTCCTGCCCCGCCCGCTGCTCCCCTCAGCAGTGCACTTTGTTGGTCCGCCTGTTCTGCTCCCCACTCTGTCTCTGGTGAATCCTCTTACCCCCCTGCACCTCTGGCCTGTTCCCCAGTTCTGTATGCAGAAATAAATAGATCTTTAAAAAAAAAGTCAAAAATTAAGCTAACCCAGCACAGGAGATGAGCCACATTTGACTTGTAAGAACTTGAGACAGGAGACAGACAAGAGCCACAGGAGATGGCTAGTTTTGGAGCCATCTGAGGTTCTGCTTGTAGCGACTGTTTGGCCGCCTTGTAAAAATGTCTGTTCTCCCTTTACCACCTCGCCCCCTGGGGTATGACCCAGGCTCCAGCCATGTGTGCTGGTAACACATCACTCACGTGTGCGTGGGTGACACAGCCTCAAACTGTTTGGTGGAGGCTGTCCTCAAGGAAGACTTGTAGCCTCCAGATGCAGACAGTAGTCTGCTCTCATTTTTGCCCTTTCCTTTAAAAATATAAAATAACCAGGCAAGAAAATAATAATAATGATGAACAGCTATATTTTTATGGGGGTGGAGTGGGGAATGGGATCAAAAACAGTGGGGGGAGGGAAATGCACTGGGCTATGGTGTTGGCACATGGGTGATTTGGTGATGGGAAGCCCACGGGGATGACAAGTGAGATGGGAAAATGCACAAAATGATGTAAAAATAAACTATAAAAAATATATATAACATAAAAACGGTTTGGTGGCAGGCGTGGGCAGCTCTCGGCTGTAGGTTGGCCTTGGGGCCTGTTCCAGTGGCGGACCCAGCTCACTGTCTGCATTTTCTCCCTGCCCAGATTGGCCTGCGTTCGGCAACCTGGACAACACAGCACCCCGAGACCACAACCATCTGGACAACCACCGGGTGAGTGGAGAGGGACATGGGGGAGCAGGGCTGGGAGGAGGGGCTCACTCCCAGTGGCACTGAGGGTGAATCTCCAGATCAGAGTGAATCACAGCCTCCTCCCCAATCAGAAGTTCCCTCTGGGTCCATTTCAGTCCTGAGGAGGTAGTGAGAGAAGAGGGACTCTTGACTATACAAGTCTGGTAAATGCTGGGCTGGGCCCTGGGTACACCCAAGTTCATTTCTGTATTCGCACAATTTGATATGGGTGTCGATATACTTTTTTTTTTTTTAAGATTTATTTACTTACGCACACAGGAACTGAGGTATAGGCCAGAAGTGTGGGGAGGGTGGTGAGAGCATTCACCAGAGAGAAAGTGGGGAGTAGAGCAGGCAGATCTACTGAAATTCACTGCTGAGGGGACCAGCAGGGAGACAGGAGAGGTCTGCTGCGCCGTGTGGGTCACTCCCTGGCCAGGGATTGAACTTGTGCTGCAGTGGCTATGGATAGCTTCATAGCGCTGCGCTTTAACCCATTGCGCCACTAGTAAGGCCCAGATATACTTCTTAGTAAAATAAATAAATGGAAGAAAAGTGCTAACTGAATAGTGGTAGAACCGACATGCAGATGTGGCCAGAACTCAAGCCTGAACGCAAGAGATGGTGATCCCAGATCCTCTTTCAGAGCCGAACATCCATCTAGCAGAGTAAAGACTACATCCCCTGTCCTGTAGGGTTTTGGCAGAGGGTAGAGATGGAGTGAAATGTGTCCCGAAAGCTCCATTTTGTCTGCGGGTCGCAGCCCTTAAACCAGTTTCTGTTTTCCTGCCTGTGAACCACGTGCCTCACTCTTCACAACAGCACAGGGGATGACACTTGGCCTTGTCCTCAGCCCTCTGAGCCAGGGCTGGAGTGAGTCCCCTAAAGAAGCGGTGAGCAAGCACCCAAGCTCACAGCTGACAAGTCCCAAAGAGCCCAGGCAGGCAGACTCTGGAGCCCAAGCGCCTCCCCGCTACTTCCCACCGCTCCTTGTCACCCTACCAGCAAGGCAGGAGGGAGGTGTGGTGGCAGAGGAGAGGAAGCCAGTGGCTGTGGTGTCTCGATGTCACCACCACCGGGAACTCAGGGGACCACTGAGACCCTAGGACCATCTTCTTTCCACAGGACTCTGAGAACAGTGGGGACAGCGGATACCCCAGTGAGAAGAGGGGGGAACTGGATGACCCAGACTCCCGAGAACAGGTAAGGGATCCCTAGAAGTGGGAATAGAGTGCCCCTTCCCCTTGTCAGGGAGAAAGGGGTGCGTGGGAATGGGTGGTGGGAGCATAACGAGTAAAGGCTGAATCATGCCATTTCAGACAAAGCTATGTGCAGAACGGTGGCTTGTAAGGGACAGGTACAGGGGTCAGGCCCAAGGTAGAAAGTGGCGGCTACGTCTCAGGGTGAAGCTGGGGCTCGGTGGCTAAGCAGAGGGATCTGGCCAGGAGGCAGTGGTGCAGGTGAAGGTGCGGGGCCCGGGATTCTGGCAGACCCCGGGGAGGGCCCCGGAGACGGGTTCCCGGGACACCTGGAGTGTCAGCACTTAGAGGCCTGGTGTCAAGGCCGGTCTGGTGGGAGCGCTGGGGCCAGGCCCTTGCCTTCCCGTCATCCCCGCCTGTGGGGAGAGTGGGCGAGGCCGCGGCCGCACCAGCCCATGACACCTGTTGCCAGCACCCTCTCTTCCTGGCAGACTGGGGGGGGGGGCCACGGGCCGGGTCCCCTGGGGGAAGGGGACGTAACGGGTTTCCTAAGCAGAGGGCCCCCTTCCCTGGGGGTGCCAGCTGGTTCCCCTAGGATAAGGGGCCCCCCGGAGGGCTGAACCAGATCCCCAGGAGGAGGCCCCAGTGCATGTTCTTGGGGGGAGGGCTGCTCTTCAGACCACTCTACTCTGCCTCCACCAGGCCCACGCAAATGGTCATCGGCGGTACGAGTCGGATGAGGACAGCCTGGGCAGCTCTGGACAGGTAGGGTGCCCCGGGATGTCCTGCCGTGGCTGGAGCCTGCCTTTCCCGGGCTGTTTGCTGCCCCTGTTGTGCCTGCTGCTGCCTGGGCGCCTCGCACAGCTCTGGAGGATGTGACTGTCCCCTAGACCCAGTGCAAACACTTTCTGAGCTTCTGCCCGGGGCTGGACCCTGCGGCAGGGTGGGGTGTGAGGGGAGGATGAGCACCAGCCCCCCCCTGGACATAGCCCACAGTGACAGTGCTGGTGTGGAGGCCCCTACCCGAGGGATCCCCGCGCTGCTTGAATTCCAGGGTGACAGCTCATTGTCTGAGAAATCGGGGGCCTTAGCAGCCCCTGGGCTCCTGCCTCGTATTCCTTTCTTTCTTTCAGGTGCATTTATTATTTCTGCACTTTTGTTTAACTGAGCTTACCTGGCAAGAAGGGCATCTCAGATGACTGCTATCATCAGGCAGGGCTGGAGGAGACCGGCCCTCAGGGCCCTTTTCTGGGTGACTCCGAGGCATACTGGGAACCCCTCACCTTCCAGCCCTTGCTGAGGAGAGTCTCTCTCACCGGCCGTGGCCCTCTTCTTCCTCTAGTCACAGCTCCTCAAATCCTTCCTGCTCTCCTGAAGAGAACCCCTGTGGCCCCTCCTCCGGGCACCTCAGCAGGAGACTCGCTTCTTTGGGAACACAGATTTCTTGCCGCACAGTATTTATTTACCACCTGGTATTTCTCTCGAGGGTCAAGTTCTGGGTCCCTCACCAGGACTGGGTCACTCTTTGCTGTGGGGGCTGCAGGTGCACCTCAAGACATTCAGCGCCCTTGCACACAAGAGCACACACTCACCCACAGGCAGACACACGTGTGCACACAGTTGCCTGTGCACCTCCCCCTCCCCTAACACCCCCCTCCCCCCGACGTGGTTTCATGCACAGAGCAAAGCAGAGTAGATTTGCTGCAAAGCCTGCGGTCCGACCCCACAAGTGCCTTGCCGGGGCCCTGAAAAAGGGGGACAGCATACAGTCCAACCCCCTTAACCAGAATCAGGCTGATAAATGAGGAGGAAAGGCCCCTGGAAGGGGCTGGAGTCCTCCCTGGTGGCCACCGTGCCCTGCTGCTATACTGCCCCCTGCGCCCCCAAGCTTGCAGGACTCAGTGATAAGAAAGGGAGCAGTGTTTGCCCAAAAGCAGTCTGACATCAAGAAGAATTGCTCTCCCAGGCTGTGCCCCAGCAGGCCCGCCGTGGGGCTGCTGTGGTGGGAGCGGCACCTTACCCGGTCTCTCCCTGCAGAAGGGTGTGGAGAAGTGGGGTCTCCTCAGCTCCCGCTGGCACCTGCCAAGGCCGTCAGCCGTGGCCCTGGAAGTGCAGAGGCTCAACACTCTGGGCCTTGAAAAGAAGATCGGAAAGTCCATTCTGGGGAAGGTACAGTGGCCGTTTCGGAGCCCCTCACCCTCTCCCCACTAACCACTTCCTCCCACGGCTGGCGGGGCGGCCCTGGGGCGCCCCCGCGGCCCCCCACCGCCCACCAGGCCGACGCCCAGGTCCGTGTGGCAGGTCCATCTGGCCATGGTGCGCTACCATGAGGGCGGGCGCTTCTGTCAGAAGGACGAGGAGTGGGACCGCGAGGCGGCCGTCTTCCACCTGGAGCAGGCCGCCGACCTGGGCGAGCTGGAGGCCATCGTGGGCCTGGGCCTCATGTGCTTGCAGCTGCCGCACCACCTCCTGCCCGACGTGTCTCTGGAGGTAAGGGGGCAGGGTTTCAGTCAGCCATCCTGGAGATGCCCGCCGGGCACAGAAGTTTCCTGAACACGTTTAGGCCCTGGCATCTCCGAGTTAGCTTAAACTGGTGGGTGTGCGCTCAGCCCGGGGGGAATGATTGCAGGGTGGCAGGCACATTTCCAGGCAGCCTGCGATGGTGTGGCGGAGAAGCAGAAGGGGCTGGTGGAAACAAGGGAAGAAGGAGTTCCCGGGTCACCTCCTGGCCGCCCAGCTCTCTTCCTAGGGGCCAGGACACAGCCTGGTGCAGGCAGGGGCTTGTGTCCTTCTGTGGACCAGATGAATAGAGGGAGTTCAGTGAGAAGAAAGGCTGGTGGGGTGAGCCAGTGGGGAGTGAGCTGTCATAACACCTGGTGGGGGGTGCTGGGAGTGTCTGATGCCTGATTCTGGGGGGGTGGGTTGTGCGCACCTTGTGTGAGTTCATTATACGTTTTATTAATGGAAAGAATGAGGAGCATACAGTTGACAGGCAACAGTAGAAATACTCTCTACTGCAGATGTGGGATAGTCAGTTGATCCACCCAGAAGACTTTGGCTTATTTTTGTGGCACTCTTTTTTTTTTTAATTAAAGATTTATCTATTTATGCATACAGAACTGGGGTACAGGCCAGAGGTGCAGGGCAGTGAGAGGATTCACCAGAGACAGAGTGGGGAGCAGAACAGGTCGACTGACTAAGTACACTGCTGAGGGGAGCAGTGGGCGGGTCAGGAGAGGTCTGCTGTGCCGTATGGGTCAGCTCTCGGGGCAGGCGGGGATCGAACTCATGCTGCAGTGGCTTTAGCTTCTTAGTGCTGTGCTTGAACCCGCTGCGCCACCAGGGAGGCCTTTTGTGGCACTCTTAGATCTGCAGTCCACCTCCAGTTGCAACTGCTGGCAGGGAGAGACTCTGATATAACTATTGGTTGATGTTGTCACTTCCGTGAGCTGAATGTGAAATAAGGAAGACCGCTGTCAGAGCCGGCACCTCATTTATTTGCCCCCCGTGTGGTTGTGTCTTTGCTGAATCAGATATTGCTGGAATGTGAAACTATCTTTTAGCCTGAAGATATGAACGCTGAAGACGGTCTCATCAATTTCCTGTCTAGTCACAATGTCAAAGCTAGAGACACCATGTACTTTACACTTGCATCCACATTATGAATATTTTTTTTCTCAGTCTACACAATAAAAAATAAAAAGCTCTACCCCCTCTATGGAATTTTCCGCTCCAACCATGACCGATTTTGTTGCGCCACGATGTCGTCACTGGGCATAAGTCATCTCAACAATGTGTGGTGACCCGCCACAGATTCCACAAACCACAGCCAGTCTCCCTCCTCCAAGGAGCTCTTGGCAATGGATGTTTTTGGTTGTCACTAGTCTGGTGGTGAAACTGGCATCTGGTGGGCACAGGCCAGATCTACTAACTAATCTGTGAACAGGGCAACTGGACAATATTGGATTGTCTGGTCCAAATTGTCAGTATGTTGAGGTTGGAAAAACTCTGCAATCTGGGTCTCCCTGGCGGCACAAGGGGTTAAGTGTCAGCACTATGAAGCTATCTGCAGCCACTCCATCACAAATTCCATCCCCAGCCAGGGAGCTGACCCACATGGCGCGGCAGACCTCTCCTGACCGCCCACTGCTCCCCTCAGCAGTGTACTTCGTCATTGGGCCTGTTTTGCTCCCCACTCTGTCTCTGGTCAATCCTTTCATCCCCTGTACCCCTAACCTATACCCCAGTTCTTATCTGCATAAGGAAATAAATATATATAAAAAAACACCTCTGCAACAGACATAAGTGGTCTCAGGAGCATAGACAATAGGGAAACTATGAAGTGATGAGTTGTGTTTGTTACCTTTGTTTTTAATGTCATTTGTTAATTTGTAAGTTTATATATTTTCATTTTTTAAAAGATTTTGTTCATTTTTACATAGAAGAACTGGGGTTCAGGCAGAGGTCTTCTCATCCCTGACACCTCTGGCCTTTATCTTTTCATTCTTAACAATGGCTGTGTTTTACAAGTGTTGAAAAATTCCTGAAAATGCCCCAGTAGAGTTCTCTGCAACCTGTGGAGCCCGCTGAGGAGTGTTGTGCATCCAGGCAGAGCACACTCCAGGGTTAGAGACCTGAATGAAGGAATTGTGGGGGGGAGGGCGGTGCAGATGGGGGAAATCTCTCTCTCTCTCTCTCTCTCCTCACTCTCTCTGAGACACCCTGGTAACTTTCCTTGTGACCTTAGGCTGTTTCCACCAGCCACACCCTGGCACCATTGTAAAGGGATTTTTTATGGGAGTTATTTCAGTTTCCTCATCCGCAGGCAGCTGAGGCTTTTCGCAGTGTGTCATCAGCGCTGTCCTAGCGTGAGTGTGTGACTGGCTGGAGCACGCAGCTAGGACGAGGCAGGCAGGGTGTGCAGGCCAACAAGGAAACAATGACCAAGTGTCCCAGAGACCACCGTGAGCTCCCACTTTGCCCAAACCCCCCATTCTTGGGGCCTTTTTCTGTTATCTGAGAGTCATTCATTCAGGACATTTTTTTGAGTTCCCAGGATCTTACTCTTGACAGTGAGTAAGACAGACATAATAATAGCCAGAAAGTGAAAGCAACCCACATGCTTATCGAATGGCTGAATAAAATGTGGTCTCGCCATCCAGGGCACTGGCTCACCATACAAAGAATGAAGGCCTAGCATATGCTGCAATGTGAGTGAGCAGTGCCATGAATGAGCGCATTGATACAAAAATTTCCAGACTAGGGAAATGTCTAGAGATAAAGAATAGACTGAGTGGGTGCCAAAGACAGGGTGGGCCGGCCGATGGAAGGTGACCGCTAAGGGTTTTTGACTTCGGTTTCTTTTCGGATGAAGACATTTTGAAATTGCTCACGGTGATGGTTGCTCATCGTGACAATACCCCAAACTACTGAATTGTACGCCTTACATCTCAATGAAGCTGCTTAGAAAAAAAGTGGAGGAGCCCACTGGAGGCTTAAGGTGATGTGTTCACTCTCAGGAGTCAGAGCAGAGAGTCAGTGAGCAAGAGTCCAGTTTCCCTCCCGCCCTGCCTGGTGGAAACCACCTGCCAGCCCATGGCGGGATCTATGCCTGTTCTTTCTCCTGATGTGAATCTCTACAGTATTCCCAGCCCAGAGCTCTCAAACCATTTCAGGACACAGCATTTTGCTTCATGAAATCCTAGCAGCCTCTCCAGTGCAAGCCTCAGCTCCTGTTCTCTCCCTGTCTTCACTTTGTACTGCCAGGAGACAGAAGAGAATAAAACCAGAGGGTTCAATTATTTACTGAAAGCAGCTGAGGCTGGTGACAGACAGTCCATGATCCTGGTGGCACGAGCTTTCGACACGGGCCTGAACCTCAGCCCAGGCAGGTATGTTGCTCCGATGAAGCCCGTGGGAACCTGGCAGAGGTGGGAGCTTCCCTCCAGCTTCGGGACAGACCTGGCTTCCAGCTCTGCTCCCTGAACTTCTGGTTCAGTGAACTTGGGCAAGTTGTCTGACCTCCTTGACCTCAATGGCTTAATTTTTTTTTTTTTAAGATTTACTTATTTCTGCATACAGAACTGGGGGACAGGCCAGAGGTGCAGTGTCAGTGAGAGATTTACCAGAAACAGAATGGAGAGCAGAACAGGCAGATCGAGGAAGTGCACTATTGAGGGGAGCAGCGGGGAGACAGGAGAGGTCTGCTGTGTCATGTGGGTCACCTCCCTGCCTGGGGATCCAACTCGTGTTGAAGTGGCTGCAGCCAGCTTCGCAGTGCTGAGCTTTAACCCATTGCGCCACCAGGGAGGGCCCTGAATGTCTTCATTGTATGACTTGGAAGTGATTATTGAGCCTGATCTTTGGGCTAGGTGAAGGGTAAAGAAGATGACGCCTGCAATCTCAGTGCCTGGCATCTGAAGCAGGAGGCCAGGGCAGACGTCCTAGCCATTCCACATGAAGATTTACCTGAGAAGTCTGAAGGGACATGCAGCCTCAAGCCCAGAGTGGCGGATCCTAGAGGATAGGGTGATGGGTGGTAGTAAGGTACTCTGCCTGCTTTGATTTCCACATCGAGATGAAGAGGAGAAAGGGATGAGTTCAGGCCTGCTGTGACTTTTCCTTAGTAGTGGCTCTGAGACGCCTGGAAGTGCGTATTCTGCATGTGTCAATGTTTTTCCATTTACCCTTCTGGCCGTGGTGCCAGGTTTCTGCACTCTGAGGAAGGAGGGTGGCAACATCTTCTTAGCTCCTTGACTAAGCCAGCAGGAGGGGTTAGAATCCAGGAAGAGGGGTTGTGTGGGGACCCACTGCTCACCCTTGCGTCTCAGCCATCCCTGCTTCCTCGGGAGCCTCTGGCTTTCTGGGAGGGCACAGGCCGGGCACATTATCATGTGATCTAGGGTGGGAGCATCTTGGCAGTCTTTGCCTTGGGGTGCAGGTTTCATCTTTCCACAGGGTTCAAGGCAAGGGAAGACTGCAGCTGCATCATACTACACTCTCAGGGTCTAGATATTGGCAGCCTATCTGTATTTGGACCATGTGGTCCAAAGTTGAATCTGTTACCTTCTGTGCAACAGTGATGCCCCTTATATTCAAACTACCCTATCCTATCTGTGATCTTACCTCGCTGAGAATAGGAGTCAGGTCTCCGCATCTCTGCTGAGCCAGTGCTTGGCAGACCCTGGCTTAGTAGTTGGTTCAGTGAATGAACCCATACGTCTCTTAGACACAGTAGGGTGGGCATTTGGGGCCCCGGATCGTTTCTAGCTGTTGCTCCTAGACTGTCTCATGAAACTCAAAGCCATACCTGCAGTGCTTTGCTCTTTCCTGATGTCCTGTACATAGTTACTCCCTTGCTGAGTACAATCATAGGAAAAGAGCCTACTGCTCTATCTGCTGTATGTTTGGGGTGCTGCCTACTTGGTTGGGGGAGCTATATATGCCATGGTGACCTGGCTATTCACTGCAGCAAAAGAAAGAACTGAGGGTCAAGGGGGCAGAGTCAGAGCAGGAAGTCAGCCATCCCGGGCCAGGCCCGCATGGTGCTGGAGGAGAACCAGAGCTGGCAGGCACTGGCTGAGCTAAAGGTGGGCCCAGACGGTTCTGGGAGCCTCCACACCCACCTCCACACCTCCCCAAGTCTTAGGGCACATTGGCTGGGACTCTCGGCCCCTGCCAGTGCTACCCCACAGGAGGATTTTGCAGCTACTAGAGAAGTGCCCCACTTCTTCAGGATATCCTACTTCTGTCCCTTGGGACATTATGTAATATACTGATTTCGTTAGGAAAAGCTGTTTGGCTGCCATCTTAATCAATACATAAACCTAATGATGTTGGATGCCCCTTAGCGGGTGGCATTGGGTCCTGTGGGTCAGGAAGTATAAGTGATGCCCTGCTGGGATCCCCAACTCGCCCCTCCTGTGCGTTGCCATGGCAACACCCTCTTTCACTCTGCATCTCCTGTAGGTCCCAAGACTGGCAGGAGGCCCTGCACTGGTACAGCACCGCCCTGGAGACCACAGACTGTGACGAAGGTGGAGAGTACGACGGGGTGCTGCATGAGCCCCGGTTCACACTGCTGGCCCGGGAGGCCGAGATGCTGTTCACAGGTGGCTGCGGACTCGAGAAGCACCCCCAGAGATCAGGTAGAGGCTGCAGACCTGCCTCTGGGGGATGGGTGGGACGAAGCAGACAAGCGAGACTGGGCGGATTGAAATTCCCCCCACGGAGCTATGCCAGGGCAAGTCCCTCCTGCCAGGGAGAGGAAGGGCCATACTAGGCCCTGGGGGGGGGGGGCTGGAGTCCCACGCGGGGCTGGCCTAGGAGGGGCTGTATGGCTGGTGTGCAGATCAGAATTTTAATTAATGGGTAGAGATTAGGGGGCTTTTAAAAAAATAATTGTTTTATTTTATGCTAATCGTAAGATGAAATGCACCATCTTAAAATGGACAGCTCAGTGGTTTACTATATTTACAGGGTTTTGCAGCCATCACCACTCTCTAATTCCAGAACATTCCCATCAGCCCAAAATGAAACTCCGTACCTGCCAGCAGGTGTTCCCTATTTCCACCTTCTCTGTCACCAGCCACCACTAACTTACTTTCTGTCTGTGAATTTACCTGTTCTGAACATTTCTTATTTATGGCATCATGCTTATGGGGCCTTTTTTGTCTGGCTTCTTTCATTTCAGTATAATAATTTTTAGGTCCATCCATGTATCAATACTTTATTCCTTTTTACTGCCAAATAACATTTCATGGCATACATATACCACATTTTGTCTATTCAATTATCAGTAAATATACAAATATATATACAATATATTTGTATATATATATATACAAAGATATACATTATATATATATCTTATATATATATAATGTATCTTTTTTCTCTGTTCCACAGTAAACACTTCACTAAATTAATTTCACAAAGAATTAGGTTAAGTTTTAAAAACTTTTATAAGCTTGATTCAAAAAATAAAGCTAATAGTAACTTCAAATAATGTAAGTCCCTGATCTCAAATTCCTAAATCCATAAAGCTCTGAAAGCCAGGTTTGTTTTTGTTTTTTTTTTTTTTTTTTGCACAGATTCATCTGGTGTTGCAATAGGCAGCTTGTGTATAGTCTTTCCTTTGCTTTCTTTCTTCCTTTTCATACATCCCCCAGTTAGTCCCAGAACCCTCTCATTGAGCCAGTGGAATCACCTGCCCAACCCCAGCCCAATCACTGGCTCGCAGAGAAGAGCAGCTGAGACTGGCTTCTGCCAGCAGCTGAACCGGCCCCAGCGACCTGGAGCTGTGGGAGGGAGCTGCCTGCACCCCGGCCACCTTGAGAGCGGGGTCAGATTGTGGAGGCAAAGGGCATGGTTCTTTCTTTCTTTCTTTTTCCGAAGATGTATTTATTTGTGCATACAGAACTGGGGTACAGGCCAGAGGTGCAGGGGCAGTGAGAGGATTCACACAGACAAAATGGGGAGCAGAAGAGGCAGATCATCAAAGTGGGCAGTGGGGCAGTGGGCAGGTCAGGAGAGGTCTGCCATGCCATGTGGGTCACCTCCCGGGCAGGGATGGAGCTCATGCTGAAGTGGCTTTAGCTCCTCAGTGCTGTGCTTTAACCCACTGAGCCACCAGGGAGGGCCCAGGAGTAGTATGGTTCTTAAAGGAACCTCAGGATGCCATTCCCAGGGAGGGGACCGGCCAGAGCAGCAGGCTTGTCACTCTGTGCCCACTTTGCTGTCTTCCAGGTGACTTGTACACCCAGGCGGCTGAGGCGGCGATGGAAGCCATGAAGGGCCGACTGGCCAGCCAGTACTACCAGAAGGCAGAGGAGGCCTGGGCCCAGATGGAAGAGTAGCTTGCCGAAACACACTGTTGGCCAGGCCTGAGCAAAGGGCTAGGGGAGGGTGAAAAAAAGACTTCATTGACTTAGTGTGGGGGGAGGGCAAGTATGTCTAGTGTGGGTAAGTCTTTTCTTTGTATTCTTTTTCTTTGACTCTTTGCCACCAGCAGAAACATCATGAGCTGTCTCCTAGGGCAGCATTTTGGGGAAGGGAGGATTGAAAAAGCAGCCTGGTAAACCACGTGTCATCTTGATGTTCTTTTGATTTTCTTCATGAGCTGTAAGAAAGTGCTTTTTTGCCTCTCATGGAAACGATGAGGGCTTTGCCCACCAATCTTTTCAGACTGGACTGAAATCTCAGGCCCATAGGGCCTGTATTTCCCAGGTCGGGAAGGGGGACAGAGAGTGCCTAACTTTCTGGGGGTGTGTCATGTCACAACTGTGCAGAGCCTTCCTCCTCAGAACATTTGTGAGCGTGATGGGCACTTTTTCCCAGTGACACAAGGCCGTGAGTACCCAAGCCCTCCACCACGGGGGCAGGGCCTGCACACTGACTCTTTGCTCGTCTTTCTGAAATGCAACCGAACTTCTGGAAAATAGCCAAATTCTGTTTGCAGATGTGCTTTCTACAGTGGGCTTTACAAAACAGGTTTCATTTTTGTATGCACACATTTACTACCTCTGACTCCTCCATCGGCTAGCGTGGAAGTGGGTGCCCCTCTAAATTTTCCTAACACATAGGGACGACTTGGTGTGTTGGAGTCTTTCGTCCAGGCAGCCTGGGGCTCCGCATTGCATTGGCATCATCCACAATGCGTCTGAAGTAGCCTTTGTACAGTTTCCCTCCTTGTTTTCTTAGCATTGAATGTTCTTAGGTAGCATCTGCTTCCAAGCCCCCATCCTTGGCTTTCTCTGCTTGAAACAAGACTCAGTTTTCTTGTTCTATGCAGGCCAGATGCACTCAACAGCAGCCTGGTGGGGTTTGTTTGAGAATGAGAGGGCTATAAGCACTCATTAATTCCAGTACTTTCCCCAGGGCCAAGCTATGGTTATCTATACTTGATGAGCTTTTCCTGTAAAAGGAACTCAGGTTTAATAGTAGTATGATTTCAATTGTTGTTTCAAACAAGAAACTGCTTGGATCAACCCTACGTGTTCAAGCAGTCTCTTTGTTTAAAAACTAAAACCAAAACATTCTTATCTGTTTGCTAAAGCAGGTCTTTGACATTTTAACATTAAGTCCTGTAGAGTCATGAACAAGCATTAGGTTCCAAAGTTAGAGGGACTTTGGATTGTCTAAAGGGACAATCCAGCAGAAATGAGGTACCTCAAAACAAACAAACAAACAAACAAAAACACCTAGACCCACCTGTAAATGACAGTATCACTTTTGTAGGGTGTGTGTGTACTTATCACAGCAAATATCACAGCTGACCACTCTTTTTATTCTGCACCAGATCAAATACTTGGCTTACGTTAAGTTTTTTGTGAGTTTTAAATCAGTGCATGTAAGTCAAATTGCGTATGTTCAATGTAGTTTAGAATCAATTTTATTGTGACTATCTCTTCAAAGGAATCAAGCCTCAGATGATTCATGATTTCGTCGTTGTTGTTAATTCAGCCAGCCTCCTCTCTGAGGCTTTATTAGGCAAATAATTTATGATCCCTAGTCATCTGTCTCATTTCTTAGTTATATGTCAATGCTTTTCTCTAACAAAGGAATCAGCAAGCTTTTTTTGTAAAGACACACAGTAAATAGTTTAGGTATTGGGGGTCATGAGGGTCATGGCCATGGTAACTACTCATTTCTAAAAAGCCTTCAGATTTGACTGGAATGCTGTTTATTTGACTTAGTGCAGAAAAGCCATGGACAGTATCTAAATGCATGGCTAGTGTTCCAATAAAACTTTACTTACAAAGACAGAAGGCCTGCCTCAGCTGCAGTTTGCACATCCCTACTCTAAACCTCCACTGAAAGCTACTATATTAAACTCGTGAGGGCAAGACCCAGCTCAAGTTGTCAGTCTCCAGACCTCAAATAGTGCCTTGGCACAGAGAAGGGCCGAATAAATGCGCGAACCTGTGGAGAGCCGGCCCTCGTCACTGCGCTCACTCTCTGTGGCTCAGATTCTGCCAACCGATTAGTGACTCACTGCCTGGATTGGCTTGAACCTTCATACCTGTGATTTCACCCAATCACCCACCCACCCATGCACTTTCATGGCCTTAATGTCCAAGGCAGTCCCCTTCTCCAGGAGGCTGGGATGGCCTGGTCTATGTAGAGCTAAACAAATGCTTCTTTAAGGACCTTTGAAAATAAAATGATCTGCAAAATGTTCATATTGTTCTGATCCAGTAGAAGAATTTAATCCATCTTCAAAACCCAATTCTGTGCCTTGTAAAACTGGCTAGGATGTCATCATTTTTTTTTCCCCCCACAAATGCGGATTATGCCAAGAACAGCAACAAAACCCCCAGGACATCCGCTCCAATGGGAAAGACACCAGCAGCTCACTTTCAAATGCAGGAAGCAGGTGAAGGCTAGGGTTTGACATCGGGGTTATAACCTGGTACCTTCAAAATACAGATGGAGAAACCAAGTCTCTGAAAGGTAGACTCCTTCACTATGACACTAAGCAGCTTAGCCCTAAGCTGGAGCTATGGTTTGCTGTTCTTTAGGAGACCCTGGCATTACAATTTAAAGTGAAACTGGAGTTTAATGTCACTTTCAGTTTTGTTATAGGCAAAAGAAAAGTAGACTTTAGAGACACAAGAAGAAAATAAAATCCTAAGCCCACTCACCTGAGACAACTGTGGGGATTTATCATCAAATGCAACCTTGATGACCCAATGCAGGTAAACTAGCCTGGTTCTGCTGTGCCCTTATCTTTCATCCCAGAACATTTGTCTGCAATACTGGACATGTCTTACAAATCAACAATTGTTTACATAAGTATATGCAGCTTTTGTGGGGGAAAGGAGATGACTTGTCACCTGTATTTCTAGTCTCTGAGGTAACCATTTAACCCAGACAAGGTGTACACTGGGTGGAACCCAGGGACGTGGTTTGCATAATAAATTTATTTTTGCTTATGTATTAAGTTCCATTTTGTCCTTCTAAATAAAGTGGTTTCTTTTTCCCGTCTCAAATTCAAATGTCTCCTGGTAACAAAAGAGCAGTGTTGCTGGCTGCAGGCCAGGTGAGCCGGAGCCCATCTGAAAGGGGCAGGCGTGTTTTACTGCCATGATTATCCCATGGAAAGTGTGTGTCCAGTGTTGCCCCATTTTCTGAATTTTGAGGGGCCTCTGAAAATTGGACCTTTTAATGCAAGGTTTCCTGACTTTTAACATATCTAATAACTTTGGATGTTTAAAAAACCTTCCTGATTTGACTCATGTGTTGTCCATTTCCTTTAGATAAAATTTGAACCTCTCTTTTTTCTTGATTTTTCTTATCTATAAAACAGAAAGAATAATCTTTACCATTCCAGAGTTGTGATCAGGTCAAAGAAGATAATGCATGTTAAAGATCCTTTGTGATCTAAAGCTTAAGAAAATCTTGGTTACTGGTGTGATCATTGGGTTTCAAGCTAATGGTGTTTTTGGTGTTAAGAAATTTCAACAGGGTCTCCCTGATGGTGCAGGGGCTAAAGACAGTGCTATTAGAGCTAACACCATCCACTGCTGCACAAATTGGATCCCTGGCCCCAGGAGCTGACCCACGAGGCACAGCAGACCTCTCCTGTCTTGCCCGCTGCTCCCCTCAGCTGTGTATTTCAGTACATCTGCCTGATCTGCTCCCCCCTGAATCCTCTCACCACCATCCCCTGGCCTGTACCCCAGTTCTTGTATGCATAAATAAATATTTTTTTTAAATAAATATTTTTAAAGAAAAGGTAACTAACATAAAAAAGAAAAGAAATTTCAACATTAACATAACTATGTATGGTTAAGTTGAACACACATAGTTAGGTTCATTTGCTCCTAAACATCCACTACAATGACAGAAAGAATATTGAGTTTTGATGGCATAGCCTTTGAGGATGAGCAGGAAGAGGTGTCATGAGCAACAAAATTTTAGATGCTGAAAAGTAGATGAAATATAATTGAATTAGCAAACTCAAGGAGACTGGGCCTTTGGTTAGCAAGGGAAAACAGTTTTCATCATCAAGGAATCACCAAAAGTCTGAAGAACCGGCACCAGGAACCATTAGAATGGCAAGTAAAATGAGGCTAAAAAAGAAAATGAGTAAAAAGACTACTAAAGGTCCCTCCTGGTGGCCCAGTGTTTTAAAGCACAGCACTATGAAGCTATGCAAAGCCACTGCAGCGCAAGTTCAATTCCTGGCCAAGGAAGGTGACCCACGTGGCACAGCAGACCTCTCCTGACCTGCTTCTGCTCCCCTCAGCAGTGTATTTCAGTCATCTGCCTGTTCTGCTCCCCACTCTGCCTCTGGTGAATCCTCTCACCCTCCACCCCCACACCTCTTGCCTATATCCCAGTTCTTGTATGCATAAGTAAATACATCTTTTTTTAAAAAAAGACTATTAAAGCATCCAACTACAAGATCCACTCACCTCGCCAAGTAACCAGCTAGCTGCTGCCTCTCCATTGCCCCTCTAGACGCCTGGATGCCCACACAAAAGAGAGCCAGCTATTCTTCTGAAAGGCTAGTGGAAATTTCCATATTGGCTTCACCAGCCAACAGTCCCCTGTGCTTCCAGGCACTGACAAACTAATGACCCTTTTGGGAGAACACAGGCAACTGGCCAAATGTTTAGAGAATTTGATCAGCTTAAGGTAAAAAGACTTAAAAAACAAACAAACAAACAAACCCGATGAGATAGGTTGGCCAAAGCATCCCAGAAGAAAGATCTGTCACCGAGCCCTACCCACACCCACTGAAATTTATTCCGGCTCCATCCTTAAGCTTGAACAACCTGCCAAAAGTCCACATGGAAGGCAGGCATTTCATATGAAGGACATAAAAACCAACAAAAGAAAGCATTTTGGGGAAAACAGTAT